CCTGGGTCACGTTAGGAGCCACGGGGGGAAGTGAGCATCTGCATGTACGCATATATATATGTATGTATGTATATATATATAGTGAAAAGATACACATGTATCTCATATGCAAATATATAACAATATATATATATCCAATGTATAGCATATATGTATAATATATTAATGTATATCTAGACTTAGACGCAGACATGTGTGTGCGTGTGTGTCATGTATAAACATATGTTTTTCGCATATGCAAAAAACATAGTCAGTCACATGATGCAAAATGTATAATTTCTTCACTTCCTAAATATATGGACATAGTGAAAATGCTGGTTCTATGTCCAGGTTAAACGGTTAGGCTACAATTTCGAAACGCGACCTGGATTTCTGGGGCTGTCGCCGGGGAAGCTGGCACTGCACCAGTGATCTACGTATTCAACATGCGAGCTGAACGCCGTTTCCAGCTACGAGTAGATAAATATACGATGCACACCATAAATTTAATCACACGTGCACGTACACACACACACAAACATACATATATATATATACATATAATATATATATATATACATATATATATATACATATAATATATATATATACATACATATAATATATATATAATGACTTGTGGGTGTTCCAGCCGCCTTGTGACTCACTGGCATGCTACCAAATGATTGCTATCTTGGCTGGTCCAAAGGAATCAGCAGCTGACTGGGTGGTTGAAATGAATCCGAAAGACCACGAAAGACCCAACTATCTCCCGGTATCTATACATTGTCATACTGTCATGCTCAGAAAAAAAGGGGTGAAAAATGGATTTCCCATACCCTCTGGTAAATTAACATAGACCCTGGCAGATAGGGTTTGGAAGACTAGTTTCCATTAAAAATTTGTGATTTTCAGGGTCAACAAGTTTATTTACCAGATGGTATATTTCTATCATTTTCTGACATTAAATTTTATGATTTCTACAAATTTCCCATAATTTATGGATTTCGACATGTGTTTTTCCCGCAAAAAAAAATGGATGAACCATAAAAAATATGTTGGGATCATCCTGGGATTCTTCACGGTCCAGGCCAAGCGGCTGCCACCCTGCATGGGCTCGTTCTCAGCCTGAGAAAATGGGCTCGTTGTAACCGTCAAGGGATATGGGATATCACTGATATCACCATAGAATGGCCATTTTCTATGGGGATGTACCATGATGTAGCCTCCAAAACTCCTTTTTTGGCCATATCTGGCCATATCTGGCCATGAAAAATTCAGGGCCAGGCATCCCAGTCATTGAAGAAACCCACCAAGTTGAAGCCACCCTGCGCCGTGGGATCTTCCAAGGCCCCAGGCATTGATTTCAGGGCCCCCAAGGTTCTACGCAGACACACTGCGCTGTGGCAATGTTTGTACACATATACAGATATACAAATGTGTATAAAAAGTGTATAAATATATGCATATGAATATATATATATATACATATAATTATATTTTAATTATATCATTATATATACGTGTGTGTGTGTGTTGTCAATGCACGAACTAGATTCAACTATGTAGATCTAACTAGCTACTCTCTGGTCGTATCCTTTCCTGGTTCAGTGGGGGCTACCCCGCCTCCACAGCCGCTGCCACAGCCTCAACGGCCTCAGCCTCCGCAGCCTCTCCCAGGGTTTCGGCTTCAGCTTCCGGCTCGGTGGGCCTGGCGCGAATCAGTCACCATAGGTACAGGACCTATAGCCATCTATTCAAGTTGCGTTCTTGGAGACATTCACTATATGGTATCTGTTTGAAATATGTATCTACACTGAATGTCATGTGTAGATTCTGTATAGTATAAACACAGTGGATGGTAACCATATACATTTCAGTACCTAAAGTCTACGCAGAAATTTACCCAGTATAGACTAGTGATTTTTGATGATTTTTGTTGTGTTTAAGATACTCACTTATGATAAACTCAGATAGATGTCATTCATGTTCCATTTTCGACTGTCCAATTGGATTGCCACAAAGTAGTGCACATGGTATCACTTATTTGAGAGATGTGACCTCATATTCATAGTGGAGATTTTGTTTCCAGGATGGTCCTGGCAGAACGTCTTTGTTTTTAACCAAACCAGATCACAAGCGACAGTGTTTAACCTGCTGAGCCGTCGCATCTTTCGTGCGCGAACTCTTTGTCGGATCTGATCACTTCAACGCTTGAAGCGGAAGCAGCCGCAGTTCCCTATTTGGGTTTGTCCAAAATAGGGCGTCCAAAAATCACCAATGGTTTATCATTCTTCTCTCTACTTTTATCATAAAAAACAAACCCCCCCCTCCCCAGACCCCCCCCCCCAAATATATAACCCTGAAATAACATGGAAATAAGAAAATAACCTGGAAATAACCTGCAAATAACCTGGAAATAACCCTTAATTAAGGGTTATTTCCAGACTACAGTCTTTATATCTTTTCCCATCAGATCATGTTGACGCTGTCAGCTCAGTCAGCAGGTTTTATTTCAGGTTGTCATACTGTTTGCATCTTTCCCAATCATGTTGATGTTGACACCGTTAGTCAGTGAAATGGCTCAGCATGGCGAACTAGTTTCCCTTCCCATTTGAAGAGGGTGGCAGGACGGAACAAGAAATCAACAGAATCTACCATTTTTGTTTGCAACATGCATATTATATGTTGTGGGCTGTTGGCCGTGAATGCGGTCCAAATCTTCCACAACGAAAAGTAAAACACTTGTGATATTTTTTTTGTGGGATATCACCATCAGTGCCATTGAATGAACTGACCAACAAATCTAAACCAGTTGTTAAGAAGTGTGATCTTTAATGAACAATCCCAACACAACAGCGACTGAGCAATCACCTCTTGTAGCCTGAACGGAATATTTTTTGCTGACTTCATTCTACATAAGATTCTCTGTTTTTTGCCACGTATATCTAGACACTTGCTATTCCTGCATGTCCTTTTCCATTCGCTTTAAAAAAAAAATAGACTACTTACAGGGTTATTTCCAAAATCTAATTTTTCCCTGTATTTTTCCATGGTTTTCACCTTATTTCCACCTTAATTCCAGGTTATTTCCATGTTATTTCGATGGATATTTCCAAAATCTCACTTTTTCCTGTGTTTTTCCATGGTTTTCACCTTATTTCCACCTTATTTCCACCTTATTTCCAGGTTATTTCCAGGTTGTTTCCAAAATCTCACTTTTTCCTGTGTTTTTCCATGGTTTTCACCTTATTTCCACCTTATTTCCAAGTTATTGCCAGGTTATTTCCAAAATCTCACTTTTTCCTGTGTTTTTCCATGGTTTTCACTATTTCCACCTTATTTCCACCTTATGTCCACCTTATTTCCAGGTTATTTCCAGGTTATTTCCAAGTTATTTCCGGGTTATTTCCAAAATCTCACTTTTCCCTGTGTTTTTCCATGGTTTTCACTATTTCCACCTTATTTCCACCTTATTTCCACCTTATTTCCAGGTTATTTCCAGGTTATTTCCAAGTTATTTCCGGGTTATTTCCAACATCTCACTTTTCCCTGTGTTTTTCCATGGTTTTCACTATTTCCACCTTATTTCCACCTTATTTCCAAGTTATTTCCAGGTTATTTCCAGGTTATTTCCATGTTATTTCCAAAATCTCACTTTTTCCTGTGTTTTCCATGGTTTTCACCTTATTTCCACCTTATTTCCAGGTTATTTCCAGGTTATTTCCAGGTTGTTTCCAAAATCTCACTTTTTCCTGTGTTTTTCCATTGTTTTCACCTTATTTCCACCTTATTTCCAGGTTATTTCCAAGTTATTTCCAGGTTATTTCCAAAATCTCATTTTTTCCTGTGTTTTTCCATGGTTTTCACTATTTCCACCTTATTTCCACCTTATTTCCAAGTTATTTCCAAGTTATTTCCAGATTATTTCCCGGATATTTCCAAAATCTCACTTTTTCCTGTGTTTTTCCATGGTTTTCACCTTATTTCCACCTTATTTCCACCTTATTTCCAGGTTATTTCCAGGTTGTTTCCAAAATCTCACTTTTTCCTGTGTTTTTCCATGGTTTTCACCTTATTTCCACCTTATTTCCACCTTATTTCCACCTTATTTCCAGGTTATTTCCAGGTTATTTCCAGGTTGTTTCCAAAATCTCACTTTTTCCTGTGTTTTTCCATGGTTTTCACCTTATTTCCACCTTATTTCCAGGTTATTTCCAAAATCTCACTTTTTCCTGTGTTTTTCCATGTTTTTCACCTTATTTCCACCTTATGTCCACCTTATTTCCAGGTTATTTCCAGGTTAGTACAAACCCAGAATACTAAATCACATATAGTCCGGGTTATAAACACTTGCGAGCAGAGAACTCTCCAAAAAGAGATCTTCACACAGTGGAAATTACTCAGATCCAATACTGGCGCTTCTTGGTGCCCACACGTTGAAACACTGGCATGGGTTGCTGCAACTCCAGAAGCCTTTAGTGACAACAATTTATTAATTATTTGGGACTTCAATGAAGACTTGAATGATATGGTTTGTTTGGAACCATTCTTTGAGTTAGATACGATCCTGTAACGTTACCTCTATTTTCAAGTCAAACCATATTCTTTCCATTGCTTTGCCAAAGCAGTTGGTCAGAGAAACTTGTGTCTATTTCGTTGGTAAACGCCATAAACTCTTCATAGTGCCTATGGTTTGGTGTGGAATCTAGCTTGGATTCTGATATGTTTTCTGATGTGTTTACTTCTTGGAAATAAGGATAATCATTGTATATTTCGGTGTTATGGTCCCAACCAGGCCAACCCTCACTGGAGACTATTTATTTGAGGGGGGGGTTGGGGAGGGGGGGGTTTGACACCTGTGATTTTATGATCTTACATGTAAGAAATATATAGAAATATATAGAAATATATGTGATTATATGTGATTATATGTGTACATTTACATGTTTATTATATATATCATATGATTATATATTATATATGTTTATATAACTATATATATATATATATCAAATATTGCCAGGATTGACAGTAATTTGCCGCTCAGTAACAAAGAGCTCACCTAGCAGGCGAAGCCGGTAGGTGTTGGAACACCTGTGGTGATACCACGAAGCTGGCATTTTTACCATTTTTGTATGGAAAATGATGGAAAATCATGCTTCACATGCTGGAAAATGCTGGAATGATTTTGACCTTTCAACGATTTCAGCCATGGGAAAATTTAAGTGGAGCCACAAGCCTGCTGGTTGATGTTTTTTTATTCTCCGAAAAATGACACTGACATACAATGAACTATAGATTGAAGAACAGTAAATTATGTAAAAGTTATCTCATGTTATACGCCCCCGGCGTTTAGCCCTCATTTGGCATGGGAATGGGTAGATCTTGCCGGCCCTCACCTCACCAGTGGCGAAACACCGAGCCCTTGGAGCCCTTGGGCCCCTTGGAACGTCGATCAGATGCCGGCGGAGCCGACTTCGTAAACTTCGTGTCGTCCACGATCTTGTGCAACCTGAGTTGTGGTGATGGCTCGGTCAAATTTTGACCGTCCTAAGATCAAGAGACCTCTGTGTGTAGAAGCTTGGAATTTGAAGTATGAAAACAATTGAAAACATATCAGCATTGTTGCGAAATCACCTGATGAAATGTGAGTTGCGCCCTAGTTTGATATAAACAAGATGAAACAAGTGACCATGCTGTCTATATCACAAACTGTGCGTTTTAGGGTCTCCAACTGCTCAAATGTGACCCCTGCACAGGGCTCAAAAAAAAAGACCAACACCACACCTTGGCGGCAACCAGTCTTATCGGATACGGATGGGTAAGGTACTGTATCAGTCATTTTCAGTATGACCACCGGAATCTGTTGCCATGCTCATGATGAAAATCCTCATCCAAGTCCATGTCTTGGGGTTGAAAAAAAACCAGTCCGCAACGGAAAATGATAAAATCACCCATCGATTTCCATTGATCGTGATGATTGTCTTACTACCCATAGCTTTACGGATGCCCAAAATCATTTACTGTAGAGATCCCTCCATCCTACAGTCGATTGATTTGTTGGAACATCGGACCAACATGGACCAACTCTATGGGATACGCTTGGGTTCCCAGCACCTGGGATTTATATTTTAACATATTTTAACCAATTCACTGGTTGGTGATGGTTGGTGGTTGACCTACCCCTCTGAAAAATATGAGAGTCAGTTGGGATGATTATCCCATATATTATGGAAAATACAAAATGTTCCAAACCACCAACCAGATTTTGAGCATTTCCCACCAGAGATATTCCCAATTCTGGGTCGACTGTCCGAGTTGCACCCGACGCAGGTTGCTGCCACTTCCGTCCTTGGACTGTGGCACAGCCACCTTAAAATGACAGTTAAAAAAAAAGGTCATGGATGGCCACTTAGTAATCCCATCACCGGTCCCAATTATGTGGAAATTTCCTACTAAACCATGGTTTCTAAGGGGGTGTTTGATATTAGGGGGAAAGAATTAACCATCTGAACAAAAATTGGGATATCCGAATTTACCAGTGTTTTGATGACTAGGTTTTTGTTTTTCTATCTTTTACAGTGCTACAATCACCCCGAAAAACATACGGTTAGCCAAATGTATCAAATGCAATTCAAATGCACCATGTTCAATTTTTGTGCGGATATAACCATCAGTTGAAAGACTCCGTGTGTCTTGCCATCTCTGGCGCCCTAAGTCTCAAACGCTGGTGCTATTGGCATTATTGGCCTTTGCGCCGCCGGTAGCTTTGGAACCTTGGCAGTCAAAGGGATCAAGAGCCAAGGGTCGACGTTGACACCCCTTTTAACGGCAGTTTTTAAGTTGACCAACCGTTTATTTACAAATCAACCAAAAACATTCTTTTTTGTCGAATATCCGGATTGGCCATGTCTACCTCTGCGGTTTTTTGTTAATCTTCCTCTCTTCGCTGAATAGCACGGCCACATTGCGGTCCCGGAAATAGCTCACATCAACGAATTCAAAGTTTCTGTCGATGGCCGCAGCCCACACGGTGTATATTGGTTTGAAAATAACATCCGTATCTATCTCTATGTGATACACACAGATCTAAATACCTATGTGCACATTTCTCTATAATTCTCTTTGCCTATTTCAATATCAATATCTATACCCGTATGTTATGTTTTATATTATATATATATACATTCAAACAAATAGAAGACACATGAACATTTTGGTCAGTTTTGAGATCAATCATCAAATTCTTTTCCCACTTCACATAATTATATATATAATTATATGTGTGTATACACACATATGATATATATATATGTGTGTGTGTGTACTATTGTGTACTCATATTCATTCATCACATAAAAAATATTAAAGTAATAAACTACCCATCCAAACTAGGTTACGCCGTGCCGGGTGGCCTGTGGAGGGCGGCGCCACTTTTGTCACTCATGGTCGCCACTTGCATATCTTTCCCAATTCTGTGCGCATCTGCTGAGGTGTGCATTTTTCATTCACATGTTATCAACGTAGCATCAAGAGTGTCTTCCAAATTATATCAACGTAGCATCAAGGGTGTCTTCCAAATTACTTCAACATGTTATCAACGTAGCATCATGACGTGGTCGTAAGAACGTTATTAGCCCCACCCCAGCCCACCCCAACCCATATATATATATATATAATTATATGCGTATATATACAAATCCACAAAATCCCACAAAACGCACAAGCCACAGGACACAGCCTTAGCAACTGCCCATCCAAGGTTTCCCCAGAGGCTCAAAAATCAAAATCGCCTCCCCGTCCCTAACCCATCCCGTCCGCAAGCGCAGCATGCCATTTCTCTGTCCCATGGGCTGGGAGATCCCCCAAAGGTATCCAAATGTCAGGAGAAAAACCATCAAAATGAAAACATACGGGAAATGTCCAGCCATGATATTTGAAAAGGCCGTGCTGCGTCCCTGCTTCCTCCTCTGCAGACTAGCCGCTCTCACGCGCCAAAGTCTGTTGGACCACATGCTCCACCCGCGCCCGGAGATTGGGCGGCTCAGAGATCGGGGGCTTGGGACCCTCTGAAGTTGCCTTGTCCTGGCGGGGAAGGATCAACTCGTGTCTTGTGCCATTTCTGCGAGTCAAAGACTGGTCATGGTTGATGTTACGCCTAGAAATTCTGCAGTTCATGTCAACGCTGGATTAATGAACACCTGGGCTCTTGATCACTGGGCACCAGAGGGTACCAGATGGTACCAGTAGCAAATGACACCACTATTTTCAACGGCTGAGGCGACCGCATATCTTGGATTGCACAAGCAGCTTGTGAAGAAATAGTGAGGCTGACGGGGAATGACGGCTGCGGATACATGGCTCATATGACCAGCAAAATCAGGATATGTATGAACCAATTTTAAAATGTTCAGCTGCATTTCATCTTTGATTTCAGTCAAATACCAAATGGCTAGCCATGTAGACCTTGGCCCAAGCACGTTACGACGGTCCCCGGTCTCCTGCAATTTGCTGACCACGCGACTCATAGTCTCCCGAATGGATCCGCCTGCAGACTTCGTCGTGTCCCTCGACCAAGGATGTTTCTTCCGGTCCTGGACGATGCTGGACGCAATGGAGAAACTGTTTGGCCGGCAGCCAGGAGCTACCAGATATGCCACAATTTCTCATGATTTGGATGATTAATTCTTACAAACACGCACTCTATCTATAGATATATATATATATGTGTATATATAGCATATATGGTGCGTATATATATATATGTGTGTGTGTGTATGTATATGTATATATATATATATATGTAATGATCTATAGATACTACAGAGCATTCATATATAAAAATAAATACTTGATGTTGATATTCATGATATTCATGATATTCATGATATTCATGATATTCATGGGGGTTACCACAATTCCTTGGGAATTGCGGTGTTTTCCTTTTGGATCATGGAACCAGTTGTAGAATCGCTGGGATGGACCATCCCAATGATGTAACTTGGGGCTGGTCCAGTCATTCGACTCATTCGACCTACCCAAGGATTCATCATATTCACACACAATTTTGTGTCAACTTTATGTGCATATACATAATACACACATATATTTTTCCATGTTTTTTCCTTCTTGAAGTCTCTATATAAAGAACAACCCGTGATTTGAGTTTACATCAAATCTACGAAACAGAGAGCCAAAAGTTGGACTGACCAACAGCTCAACACTCCAGCTAAGCTGAACACAAAACACGTCTCAAGTAAAGCCCTTAGCACTCAATCAATGTATTATATATATATATTACGCATTGCATATAAGAATATGTACAGTACAGGTCAACATCAAAGCCCTTGGTGGGAGTTTTCTGATTTCGATTCAACCCATCCATTTTATCCATGTTGTCCGTTTTTGAGGTACCACAATTCTCACTCGTACCCACCATTTTGCTGAACATTGGTTCCACACCAACGCTGATTCAAACGAGGCAGATGCATATGCATTTCCCTTTAAAACCTGAACACCCTCCAGTGAAGAAACATCGCAACCGGCTCAAGAATCACCATTTTGAGATTTTGAGCATGATAATCACCTTTAACTTTACAATTGTTTTGCAACAGCAGGATGTTCCTGAGGGCCCCAAAAAGGGTCTTTGTGAGTTGCTGGGCATTGCTGGGTGCCAAATATACCTGATGTTCCTCATTAACCTGCCATAGTGAGGTGACCCCCATGTATGGATTGCAAGCGAATCACGGTGATGTCACTCACGACACCGGCGTGCCGTGAATGTCAGGGGTTAGGCAACCACTCAAAGCATGTTGGATTTGTTTCGCATCAAATTATTGCAACTTTTCTGAACACCGAAATGAATCCAGCTCATATCATGTTGGATGAAAGCATTTTGTGGTCCTGTTGGTGTGAACCCCACAAAACTCATCTCAATCTCAACGGTCCCAACTATATTTGTAAAAAATCAGCATGTTAGGTAAATCATCGTTCACCAAATAGTCATGATTTAAAGGTATGACGGTATGACCATTTTTTATAACCAATTTTAGTGGATATTTCTTGGGGTGGTGCATTATTTAAAGAGGCCGGAGGCCAAATCTAACCCGCCGAATCCGCTCCTCTCCAAAGCTGGGACTCCGAGAGCGACGGTAGCGCTCAGCCCTGGTGTCCTTGAGGATTTTTCACCCCTCTCCGCTGGTAAATGGATCATCCCGTTCCAATTGATAATGGGGCCTTGATATATTCGCATTATAAATTATATATATATGGCTATAGGGGTTATATCATATATATAATGTATTACATATATCCCAACGCGTTCAATATTGTCCTTTGACCTACTCCCACACATACATACATGTATATATATATATATACATACGAACGAAAAGGTCCCGGGGTCCCCGTAAAAACCAAGGGAAAAATGATGATATCGTGGGTAAATTAAATGCTATAATTAAAATGATATAAGTATGGCATACAGGGCGTTCCCATTTGTACGAAATGCAATTTGAAATATGTCATCTGGAAAAATGAGACGTAAATAAACGATGGGATGTAGGGGCGCCCCATTTCTCTTCAACCCAGTATCAAATCAAGTGATTGAACACACAAACACCATAGATCATCTGGGAGTAAACCAGCAAGAGGATAATGTGGATATCACCGGCAATGAAAAAAAAACAGATCAACCAGCAAGAAGTGAGGTCTGCGGTAAAAATTCAGAACTGGATGGTGACATTCGGGGGATCGGCCCAGAAAGCTGCAGCCGCTTAGATCCGCTTAGTAGATACCCCATTCAGAGACCCCCAAAAAAAAATGTACTACGGGAAGATCTTAACTTTTCGGTGGCCATTTTTTGGAAGAAAACACCAACATCACTTAAAATCATCAAAGGATCTGTGGAAGTTTGATCCACTTCATCAGTATCAACTATATGATATCTGGTTGGTGGTTGAGCCTACCCTCTGGTAATTTAACATGGCTATTGAAAATGGCCATTTATAATGGATTTACCATTGAAAATGGTGATTTTCCATAGTTATGTTAGTTTACCAGAGGGTACCCCTCTGAAAAATGATGGAGTTCGTCAGTTGGGGTTACTATTTCCCAATATATGGAAAAATTTGATCCAAATGTTCCAAATCACCAACCAGATATGTTGATAAAAATTGTATAATTAGTTGATAATGAATCTGGATAAACCTCAATAATAAAATTTATAAAAGGGGATAGTCACCCCTACTAACAATCCATTCCGAAAATTCCCAGGCTTCGGGAGAACAGGCTTCGGTCGTTATAATAAAATACCAGAACGCCCATCCACCAACCTTCACCCCGGAAATCTGAAATCGCCTCATCATCATCCCAGTTCCGCACCATGGCGCTAGCGAGCTAGCTCAGGGGCGCCGGGGTGGTGGAGTTATGCAAAGGATGGGAATGTACTTGGGAAAATTGGAACATGTCCTAGGAGCTTGGACATGACACCTGGGAACTTGAAAGAAATTGAAGGTGCCCCAAGATATTAAACACAATATCTACTGATCATTTGCATTAATATCATTTAATATCTAACCATAGTTAATTAATTAATCCCCATTCTCAGAAAACTTTTTTGGGGATGATGTCGCGACTCCCAGGACTCATGTTTTCGGGGCTGTCGAGGGGGCAGCAAAAGGGCTACTGTCATCCTCCTGGATGAATTCTCAGCAATGGGAGATTCCCGTTTTTAAATGATGCGGAAATGCGGAAATAAAGGAACATCACCCAGGAAATTGAAGGTCAATCATGTTGAGCCAGGTGTAAAGCAGTGTTGTGGTGACCTTTCACCTTTTCTGGAACCAGAAAGGCAGCAAATCTAGTGGTCACATGCATTCCTGACGGGCCTGACGGCTTGCAATGCCTGCCACAATCCGAATGTCGACATTCGGCCTTCCTGGATGTTGCTGGGTGAGCATCATCCGTGCCCTTGGGGGGGCAATGATCACTTAAGCAGCTAAATTAACGAAGGGATGTTTGAAACCTCATGCCAGCATCGACCTTCATGGCCCGTCAGTGGAGGCTGAAATTCTCTAAGGTACCCACATCTATTTGGAGAACCGTCCATTTTGTATGCATCCATATTGATTCCCCTTAAAGGTCTGGTTGGTGTCTCACCCAGTAACCTAACAGGTAGTAAAACGGAAAATTGATGAAATGAACATAAATGGACCATGGAGTTTGATAATTTAACAATAATTTAACCTCATTTACCTATGAAAAATGGTGTTTTTCCATCGCGTTTAGGGTTCTTTTGTTACTGGCAACTGCTCGCCTGGCAGATTCTGCAACTTCCACCTGGCGGGGCCGCCACATCGACAGTTCCCTTGGGGGAAAATTCGGGAGTTCCCAACTTTGGGTTGGTCTAAAAACGGGGCATACCCACAAAATAGCATGTTTTTTAAGGGAAATGATGATGAATCAGTTGAGTGGTAGGAATATTAGATATATTATACAGTATATAGATAATTATTTGGCAGGTAGTGGATTGCAGTGGTAGGAACATTATATAGATATTTGGCAGGTACCAGCCAATGATTCCATAATTCAAATGTTGAAGAACATCCAGTCAATGTCAGCCCCAGATGAATTGTTCCTTGCTGATTAATTAGGAGAGCGCCACCTGAAATCGAATAAGTCCCAAAGGTCAACATCAATCGGTTGTCAACATGTCCATAAATATGGTATTCACCACGTAGCAAAACAAACAATGGTCCTGTCATACCCAATTGATTGATAGAAAACCACATCAAAAGTATCATTATGACATATAATGACTATAATAATTCACTATTAGAACCATTCCCCGAGCGAACAGAGAGGCCCTGCCAGCTACACGGCTTGGAAGACTCGACGAGATCATACCCCCAATTGATGGCTTTGAAATGGTACATGGGGGGGTACCCCTATTTTATCATCCATTTATATATGGATTTTCCATTGTAAGCATTCCATAAAATGGGGTGGGTACCCCTATTTTAGGAAACCTCCATATGGGTGTATGATGCGGCGATTGAACATGGCAATTGAATGGGTTCACCTCATCGTCATCCCTAAAAATAGAATCCACACCGATGAACAAAGGGCACAGCTCGTAGCACCGCTGTCCAGATCATTTTAGTTTTAGTGCTGCTCATGTCTCCGCTTGAGGGAGCATGGTTCGGGTTGCCTCTGTCATCGCCGAAATTTTGCACAATCATCTCAAGTCTGAAATGGTCGGAGATACACGACACCTTACCCAAAGTTATCACCAAATGCAACAAAATTGATGACTCTGAGATGGAAAGATTGTAAACCCAGAAATTGTTCAAGGGAAAATCTTGGAAAATCTGCAGGAAAAGGGTCGGTTTGATGGCAAAGTCCCTTGTGTCCTTTAGATGTTGCCTTAAACTTTAAGGGCATTGCTACCCATTCCTGACTTGAGACCCGACTTTTGCTAGCGCATGCCTTGCTAGGCGGCTGGGCATAGGTCAAAACCTATGATTTTCCCACATTCAAATCCTGGGATGAACATCCAGCTGTTTTTTGCCATTCTATAGCAACTAACTACAGTATAGCCATTTGGGCATATTTTTTTGGGCTGCCGTTTGGGATGGTGATCCCCTATGACACATATTGCGATTCATCACTGATGGCCAGACATCTGTATTTGGAGGCCACGATGTCAACGACCTTCTGGTGTTTGAAGACCTCGGCCAATCATGATTCCAATGATGGGCCCCTATATTTGTGTATCCCCCAAAGGTGGTTCATAAATGCCAAAAACAGGATAAACCACGCTTATATATAATAGTATATATAGGTGTGTATATATATATATATATGTGTGTGTGTGTAAATATATATATATATGTGTGTGTGTGTATACATGTGTCTCATACTATCTATGTGGAAACATTTTTGGGGATTCTCTCATTGCAGCTCGCTGGACACCCTGACAACTGCTATGCAACCTACCACAACTGCCATTCCAACCGGAAATCTCCCAGACCCCCAAAAAATTGAGGGTTCCAGAGTAGCTGTCAGGGGGTTCATACAAATCCCCATTGTGGTTGGTTAGAACCCATTCAAATCAGGAAAAAAAACACGGATTGTTCGAATCTAGAATCCGCTAAAAACTGCTAATGTGGGTAAAACAATCATGAGCCACCCCTCAAATCACTATCTGGTTGGTGGTTTCAATCCCTCTGAAAAATATTAGTGAGTCACTTGGGATGATGACATTCCCAACATATGGAAAGTCATGTCATCCATTCATGTTCCAGTCACCAACCAGCTATTTTTATAGGTGGTATCATTCCCTAAATGGGTCAGAATCGTTTCAACATTGCCAATCTTAGATACCCTGCAAAAAACTAAATTCTTTGCTGGTTAGTAGATATTCCCATTAATACTAAAAGACTAAAGGATTAAAGTATCCATGTAAGATTGACCTAGTCAAATCCCCATTTCTGAATGCTTCCCAGGCTCCTCGGGATTGATGGGACTAGGCTCCACCACGTTCTTGGGACTTTCGGGGCCCAGCGCCAAGCAACCACTGCTCCTGAGAACCAGATGGTTGTGTCTGAAAATGTTGTGTACCCCTTTTTCCCCAATGGTTTTGCTGATCATTATCCCGTTTTTAAATGGCTACAATTGGGAATATACCCTATTTTCAGACAAACCCAGATGCTGATGATGGTGGTGGTGGTGCTGCTGATGATGATGGTGGTGGTGGTGGTGCGTCCTACATTACATGTGAAAAGTCATGCTCGAATGCTTCTGCTGGTGGGTGAGGGTCAGCGGTTGCGAAAAAAAAATCGCATGCAGGCCAGAGTCCTCGATGCATAAGGTCAATCTAAATAAATCCACTAAGTCAAGATTTGTCAGACCTCTTTGCCCGAAACGTATCGAATTCTTCGTTCAGAAAGACTGACCATGCACTGATAGGCTCACGCGTAGCTGGTTGTCTCTACCGCTGCCACACGGCATTAAAGTCAAAGGCGGAAAAAAAATGCACTGATAGGCTCACAGAAGGCCCATCATGGCCCATAGATTCCCCAAATGGTGGAATTCCCATGGGGAAAACAAACCCAGGACTTGGGGGGGTAATGACTCCAACGCCATCCCCGGCTTTGTTCAGTCGGTCACTTAGCTACCGGGACAATCCATGTTGAATCCCAACCATTCCCAAAGCTGCTTTCAAATCACGCGTGATGGCTTCATCAGAAGCCAAGCCAATCCATAGAAGCAAATAAAAAAAGGACTAGCTGGTAACACTGGTAAGCTGATATCAAGTACACCGCATTAATACATGGCATACCAAAGTGATAATTCATGCGTGTACTTCATATGGTTCATATGCTATCAATTATATGGGACACTTTGGGATATCCAAATATAAATTCTGGGATGATCCCAAAGTGTCCAAAGAATCCCAAAATTCTGGGTGGTCATCCAAAATTCTGCAACCGTTGCTGGTGAACTTAGCTGCCATTGGGAGCTTACTATATGAGGCCCCCCCAAAAAAAATAGGAAAGTGTTTCCAGGATATAAACATGGGTCATTAAATGTCCCCATTGAACATCACCCAACCATTAGGTATATGGTCTATAATGGCTACTATAAGGTGATGTCCAATATTCCCAAAATGGGACAGTTACCAACCCCTGATAAACGAGGTTCCAACAGAATTCCACCATACTTTCCAACTTTTCTATCTGGAGGTTGCCATACCATTTGGTCATGTCATATACAAGTAGCTATGGAAAATTGCCCATTTAGTTCGATGATGTCCGATGATTTACTTGTTAAAATTGGCGATTTTCCATATCAAATTGTGAAATGACATGAAAGGGTAACAATAAACTACCCATTTGACGATGGTGTATGCCACCCATTTATCGTAGTTTATATAGTTGGTTTTGTCACATTGACCTGAATTGTAATGTTTGTCACCCACTACATCCCCATTAAATACACATTAATCATTAATCCCTGTTAAAATCACCCATCAATCACCGGTAACTGTGGTCACCCCATGATACCCCATATATATATATATATATATCCATATATGTATGTATAATAGGCACCCATGACTTAGGACTTAGGTCACCATAGTGACATAGGAGTTTGTGCACCAAGTCCTAAGTCACTGGTGTTCTTACCAGGTGATTTGTGTGCACCAGGTCCTAAGTCACTGGGGTTATGATTGGACTTAAGCACTTTTTCGGGTTAAAAATAAATAAAATCGAAGGAAAAAATGAAAATCACAGATTTTTTTTGAACATTGTCATTTTCATCAGTTTACACAAGTCCTAAGTCATCAGTTTTCGCAACGGTTGGCTCGAGGACTTCGACCCAACAACGGGGTAGTGCAACGGGGTAATACAACAGGGACCACAATAGGGAAGCACAACGGGGAAAAAACCAGGAGAAACAACAGAGAAAAACGAAAAGTGAAAAAAAAACAAAAAAACAAAAAAAACGATTTTTTATTTTATTTAGTTGCTTTAATATAATGTCTGTACATAAATCGAAGGAGAAAAAAATGAAAATCACAGATTTTTGAAATATTTTTTTGAAGGTGGGCCAAATAGGCAAATAGCCAAATAGCTGCAGCACACGAGCGTGATGACTTAGGATCATCTTAGTATACTTCTGCTAGTTAATTCCTATGTCAGCCTGGTTTTACGAGTGGTCCATGCCGCACAAAAAAATCAAGCATAGTTTCTAATCTCATACGGACACCTGATGAGTTGGGACTTGTGCAGGGGGGGGTCTGAAGCATGATGAGATAGGACTTGTCCACCCCAGGGTATCTTTCACAAGTCTTAAGTCACTGGTACCTAATATATTATATATGATATATATATATATATATGTGTGTGTGTATATATATATTAATATATATCTGTGTGTGTGTACACGTATACATGCATATATAATTAGCCATTGATCATCACTTATCATCATTTCAATGGCCATGTTTTCACCAAAAATCAGCCACGATTCTTGGATCCCCAGGTGAACAGCTTCCCACTCTCCGTCAGGGCAAAGCTGCACTTGTCACCTGCGGGGACGCAGCTTCACCGTGTTCCCGGATGGATCTCTAAACAGAAGGCCAAAAAAACTAGCATGGACACTGAAAAAATGCAAAATTCAGAAGTTTTTCTATCCCATCCAGAGTTTAACCACAAACGTACATGAAGCCTGAAAACTCAAATTGGAGTCTCTCTCTCTCTCTACATAGGAATGCTACAGCGACAGTAGCAGCGTCACGATTACAGTATCCAATTCTGTGCCACTCTTGATAGCTGTTGGATGCCAGTAATGTGCATCACTCCCAGCACAGAAGGATGGTATCCAACTTCATGATTGGTTGGCAAGTACCAGGTTACAACTTGCAACCCAAACGTAACTGGGATAGAATCCCATCCCCCCAATATTCAATTCTCCCATTCTATGGTCCCACATATGTATAAATACACCCCCAACCAAAAAAAACGTGGTTTCTGAGGGGTGTTTGATGTGAGGAAGGGAAAATCATAGGATCATCAACCAGCATCTTACCCATACCTGGTTGCTTTTCTTCGTGGCCTGCAGCTACCTTAACGATTCGATGGAAGTCCTTGAGCGACGCTGGGAATTGGGATGTACCTTCCGCTACCCGGCCTGGTAAACGTTTACAGTTTGCGACATAGAAAATGGCCATAGAAATAGTTGATTTCGCCATTGAACATGGTGATTTTCCATAGTTATGCAAACGTTTACCAGAAGGTAATCGATGTCATTTGGTTCCTAATGTCCTTTTGGTAACAATCGAGGGGCCAGTTTGGTAAGGGGGGTTGGCCCCTCTATTCATCACATCCATGGTTACAATACTATGACTATGACGTGTTTTCCGCACCCCACCAATCAAGAACACAAAGTTGGACATCTGAAAATCATGATTGGAAAATATCCAAAATGGCTTCCTTAAAAATCTGAAAACAATGACGCGATGGCTGGCGAATCCCCCCTTGTAGTGAAGATGATTTTCCCAGCTATAAATTTCTATTTGGTGTAGCTGGCCATGGCCATGTTTGATTCGCGGAGGGTGCCATTCCATATTGGATTCTCGCGGTAGATCCGATCGGAGGTCGGCCCATCCAGGTTCTGCATGGGCCGATTACTTGGGTAAAGTTTGAAATTTATTCAAAGAACAATTAAATCTATATATATATATATATATGTGTGTGTGCGCGCGTGTTGAAAATTATATGCGTATATTGTGTGTATATTGTATGTATATATATATATATAAACGTATATGTGCGTGTGTGGTATATTCATACCTACTATAATAGTAATTAGGGCCTTGGTTGCCGCAACCCTCAAACTCCAACCATGGGCCGAAATTCTTCTGTTTTCCGGCCTTTTCCTTTGTTGTGCTGTGATTGGCTTTCCGAGGATAGTTCCATTTTAGGCGGGGGTATCCCATCCATAAATGGGCTCAAACTAAGTTACCAATAGAGCCCAGGCAAGCCAGGTGACGGAAGTGAAAGAAAAGAGCCTGACCACCTGGTTGTCACGGCCTCTGATGATGCCACCTTCTCTCCTGACAAACTTCTTTCCCTATTCTCTTCACTCCCCCTTTCACTTCGCTTCCCTACTTTTGTCACCTCCCAAGTTTCTTCACATCCCTACTCTCGTCACTTCCCTACTCTCGTAACTTTCTCTACTCTCCTCTCTTGGCTATTGTCTTCACTTCCTTACTCCGTTCATTTCCCCACTCTCTTCATTTCCCCACTCTCTTCACTTCCCTAGTCTTTTCACGTCCCTTCTCTTTTCACTTCTCTTTTCTTGTCACTCTTCACTTCCCTATTCTCTGCACTTCCCTACTCTTTTCATTCTTCACTTCCCTGCTCTCTTCATGCTCCTCTCTCTTCACTTCCCCACCCTCTTCACTTCCATACTTCCCTACTTTCTTCACTTCCCCACGCGTGGTGATGTGGTGATGTGGTGATGATGCCGTGATTTGGTGATGTTGGTGATTGTGATGATGGTGATTGTGATGCTGGTGGTCATTGACTTTCTTCACTTAAAAAAAAACGTAAGACAGGGTTTACACGTCTAAACTGCCTTTGACTGCTCACTTATAGCAATCCCCAAAAGGATAGAAAAGTGTTTCCAGGAAGTTAGAGTTACAAATGATGTTTACTGTAATAATATATATATACACATATTTCAAGGTGTCCCACTGTTTTATCTATTTTGGGGTTGCTATACTCATGGTACTCGCCATCGCCCATCCCGATAAATTGGGTGTAAGCCCTTGCTCAGTTCCAAGCGTTACCCAAAAATATATAGCACCTCAAAAAAATTACTTTACTTCGTATGATCCCCACCATGACATTTATCGATTTGTTACTGGCAAATCTTCTGGCATTCTATCTGACATATCTTCTGGCATTCGATCTGGCATACCTTCTGGCATTCTACCTGGCATACCTTCTGGCATATGTTCTGGCATATCTTCTGCCATCCTATCTGGCAAATCTTCTGGCATTCTATTTGGCAAACATTCTGACATACCTTCTGGCATTCTATCTGATATTTTATCTGGCATACCTTCTGGCATTCTATCTGGCATATTTTCTGGCATATCTTCTGACATCCTATCTGGCATTCTATCTGGCAAATGTTCTGGCATTCTATCTGGCAAACATTCTGGCACTTTATCTGGCATACCATCTGGCATATCTTCTGGCATACCTTCTGGCATTCTATCTGGCATATCTCATGGCATTTTATCTGGCATATCTTCTGGCATTCTATCTGACATTCCACCTGGCATATCTTCTGGCATTCTATCTGGCCGTTGAGGTCCAGCGGCGCACATTCTTTCTAACTTTCTTCTGCGCATTCTTTGTCCCATATCTTCCTACATGAGGTCCGGCAGGGAACACTTGGCGTGGATACTCGCGGTTGAGGTCCGGCAGGGAACACTGGGCGTGGATGGTCGTGGTTGAGGTCCGGCAGGGAACATTGGGCGGGGATGGTCGTGGTTGAGGTCCGGCAGGGCACACTGGGCGGGGATGGTCGTGGTTGAGGTCCGGCAGGGCACACTGACGTGGATGGTCGTGGTTGAGGTCCGGCAGGGAACACTGGTCGTGGATGGTCGTGGTTGAGGTCCGGCAGCGAACACTGTGGATCGCGGGTCGCAGTTGGACGAGGACGACGAGGACGACGAGGACGACAAGGACGACAAGGAGGACGAGGAGGAGGCAGGAGGCAGGAGGCGGCAGGAGGAGGAGGCAACTGACATAAAATCCAACAACCCTCACCTGGCAGGTGGGGAAAAAAAAGGAAGAAAAGAGGAAAACCTGAAAATATAAAGTAAATATCTTCACATTCACACCCTGAATACACTTGTTCTATTTATTTGGGTTGATATCCTCGGGTAAATTCACTATAGATGTGGAATTTCCCATCGTTTTCCCGGAAAAACCCATGGGATTTTCGGATTTTCCCATGGGGCTCTCCTCATCTTCGATCTGTGGAGGCAGTACCCGGTGTGGCTCCAGCCAACTGCGATCGCCCCATTCGAAGAGCTGTCCCTCCGAGGTGACACAAATCACGTGGTGCTCGCCACAGGCGAAGTCCACCACCTCCCGATTTAACGAAACACCGGGGATTCCAACCGTGGAGATCTGGTTGGTTGGTGGTTTCAACATGTTTCAACCTACCATTGTGGTTTATATATGGTTAATATATGGTTAATGATGATGGTTATTATATGGTTAAGGATGGTTAATGATGGTTAATAATGGTTAATGATGGTTAACTGGTTGGTGGTTTCAACCTACCATTGTGGTTAATATGCTGTCAATATACTGTTACCCTCCAGTAAATTAACAGTTCGACCCTGCCAGTTGTCGGGGTTGAAAGATTAGTTTCCTCTAAAAATTGGTGATTTTCAGGGTCTATGTTAATTTACCAAAGGGTAATATATGGTTAATGATGATGGTTATTATATAGTTAATGATGGTTAATGGTTAACTGGTTGGTGGTTTCAACCTACCCCTCTGAAAAATGATGGAGTGAAAGTCAGTTGGGATGATGACATTCTCAACTGAATGGAAAAATAAAATTCCATTGTTCCAAACCACCAACCAGATATGAATCTGGGTAAATTATCATTTTTAACCTGAATAGTGCCATCAATGGGGATGATTTCATTCCCTAAAATTGACAATGATTCCAGGCGGGAGAACATGGCTGGAAAATCCTGTCATCGATGAATTCCGGAAAAAAAAAATCCTTTGGGGATTGTCCATTGCCACGTTTCAAATTTGATTGCAGGAGGGTATTATGTATGTGTATATATATATACATAACTAACTGCATAACTAATAAGTGGATATACAGTAGGTTCTTAGTTCTTATCATTTCTTATCATCACTCATGGGGTGTACTATTGACTAAAACTATTCATTTCCCCATGAAATCCCACTAGAAATCCCACTCAACCACCATTTTTGATGCTTAAACCACCGTGAACCCACCATGGAAATCGCATGAAATCGCCAGCATGGCCGCCTTGTGTCCCTCCAAAGGCAGCGCTCGCACCAGACGGGGGAAGCGCTCCGCCGAGTACATGTCACCCATAGCCTGCGCGAAAATGGTGAGTTAAGATATAGATAACTAATATAAATATAATCATAGTATGGTTAATATAATAGTTATAACTCATAACTGAGGACTAAAAAATAAATATCAGTTATAGTTATAGTTTTATATTAGTCATAACTAATAGTTAATATAGCCTAATAGCTAATCACCAATAACTAATAATATGGTTCATGATATATACCATTAATGATGGTTAATTATATCATCTACTATATATATATATAGTTCATGGTCTAGATATAGATAACTGATATAAATCATATAGCTAATAGTTAATATAATATAGTTGACATAATGATATATACGGTAGACATATAGTTACTTAATGTTAATTATAACGAATCCATTACAGTTAACTATTATAACTCATGGATTATGTTCTTTCAATGATTAGTTAATATGAATTAAATATTAATAGTAAAGATATATTTTTAATTGTTAACCTCAAATATTGGTAAATTTGCAATAATCATTGCTAACTATATAAAGTTAATCATTCTAACTACTCCATTCATTATTATCAACTATATTATATGTTACTATAAATCATATAACTAATAAGTTAACAATGAATCTGGATCAATATGATCAATCATAATAATTCACTAACCTGAAATAAGGTCATTTGGGGGTAGTCACCCCTACTAACCATCATTCCCAGTGAGGGAGAACATGGAGGTCGTTATAATTTACCCAGAATGAATGGATGATTATAACAAACCTATTCATCATTAGTAGCTAATATCCATTCATCATCCATTCATCGTTATTAACTAATATCCATTCATCATTCATCATTATTAACTAATATCCATTCATCATTCATCATTATTAACTATATATGTTAATATACATTAGCTATTATGATATAATGAGTGGATGATTATTGTAACTAATGCAATCATCATTATTAACTAATATAACATAATGAATGGTGATATTATTTGAAATAATATTACAGTCAACTACAGTATGTTAATGGTGAGTTTAACTAATATGATATGATATAGTGAATAATGGTGAATATGTTAATAGTTAGTTTAACTAATATGATAATTGAATGGATGATTCGATATGCTAGTATATATATATGTATTAATATATGTTAATATGATAATCCATGAATGATGCTGTGATAAAAATGGGGTCTGATCTTCTTTGGTGGTAAATAAATGCCGATACCAAAGTTTGATCATGTCTCATGTCTCTCATCAATTTTCACTAGTAAGAGAAGCAAACGCTCATATTTCGCCATATGATATCATATGGGAGGCCATGGTCAATACAAGACACAAGCACCTTGGCCATGGGTCCCGATCTCATCCCCATCAGCACCGTCATCCCATCATCCCCGCCTCTTCCCCCAAGCCCAGCTGACCGTAGTCGTTCCGTCCCCAAACCCACAGCTCGCCCTGCTCGCTCATCGCGGCGGAGAAGTTTTCTCCGCAGGCGACTTTGCAGATCCGCGCCGGGTCACCTGCAGGCTGAAACCATGGGAAACGCCACGGTATTTTCTGCAGGAAAGTTGATGTGGATGGTATCCTGGAAATGAACCACAGGAGAAAGGTTGGGATCTAACATCATTATATAAAGTGGACCGGTGCACTGTGCAATGTTTAATTTATAATTTATATTACTTCACAGCTTACAACCCATGAATGAATGGGAAACCCCGCGTTGAGGGACTAACCTGGGTCACTGATACATCTGCCGCCAAGCCATTCGGCATATGAAAGAAGCAAGAACATCAGTCGCATGGATAACAGCTGCAACAGTTCAAAATTGGCTACTTCTTGAACCTGGTCTTCCACAATTTGATATAATTTGCACATGCAATGTATGCAGATGATTGTAGATGGAGATGTGCTGAATACGACAGAGGACTGTCCCAGGGTGAATATATTTGGACAGTCCTATCTGGACTCTGGACATGGTGATCATGGTGAATGAAGATTCTTCCCCCGGCCTCCTGCCTCCCATACTACTCCCATTACTCCCATGATAGAAACCACTATGGGAAGCTTGTGAGAATCGGGGTGCCATCATTGGTCCCAAAAAATCCCATGGAAATTGTGCAAGACAAAGGGGTTCTTAGCTCTAGTGTGATACGGTGTGATACGTGTAACTACGGATCCTGTTTACAGATCTTTGCAATAGATCTTTGCAATATTTTGCAATATCATCCTGGTACAAATCACGAAGATCTATGGGTCTTAGGGCTCTTTGTGGGTCTTCCCAAACATCGAAGCCACTGGCCATGGAAAATCCAAGCCCCCTGTGTCCTAGAACCTTGGATCGGTCATTTTGGGGGTTCCAAATGTGGGGGATCCAGCCTTTGGGGCGAAAACATGTTTTGACCACTGATCAACGTGACATGATCTCCAGAGCTGCGCAGCTGTGGGTCGGCGGCTGTGAAAAGAGGCTGCGTTCCTGGTGGACATAGCACACAGCAGCCACCAGGAGGCTTAAGATGACCAAAATCATCAACCAGTTGACCCATGACTCGAAGGATTTCAATCCACTGGACATTCCGGTGCTGTTCACCGGAAGCATCAGAGTGGTCCAGTCAACCTCACTGTGAAGCGAAATGCTCAAGGTGACAGCGACTCTTTTGGTGCCAGGGGGGAGTGCACGAGCATCCACTTCCAGCTTGAACTCTACTGTGTAGCTGTTGATGCCAGTGCTCGAACTGTAGAAATTTGGGTCCAGCTTCACTGATGGCGGTTTTTTGGGTCCCAACGGCGAATCGTTCGGATTTTCCAGCACCGTCAAGTGCAAGGAATCCTTGTCCACCATGAAAATCTCACCTCTACGCTCACAACAAAGATCGACCCTGGGGAAGATTGAAGGGGAAAGCTCCAATGCTGGACTGGAATAGTGGACCCAATGGCTATAGTTCAGCGACTTCTTCAGGGTCATCTTCCAAGTGTAGGCTTTTGCCAGACTGGCGGTGCAAGATTCTGACTCCGATACAGGATGAGTTAATCTGATTCCAAAGAAAGGAAACGAAGGCGCAGGACCCATGATGCCATCCAGAATGATATGAAGTCTTGCTGACCAGGAGCTGTCTACGATGGCAGTGCTGTTCTTGAAAGTCTTGCGGTGTCGCATTGTCACAAGAAACCTAAAGGGCAAAAAGACACACTGGATGTCTACGATGTCCCCCTTCTGGATTGTCAAGAGGTCATTGGAAATCCATGGAATCCACGCAGCCGTAGGATCCTTCATGTCCGAGCTGTTTCCGTACTTCCTGTAACTTAGCCGACCACACCACCCTCTGCCCTCATACAGAGTCAGGTTTTGGAAGCCAAAGGCCTGGCCGCAATCCACCCGCGCACGTAGAAGCTGGCCAGCCGGGAGAGCCTCAGTCCTTGTCTCAGTGCAGTCGTGCAACACCTTCGCCGATTGAAAGCTGCAGCCGGTGGGTTGCGGCAGGACATTCATCACATCCTTCGAAATATCAACGACCTCAACAGATTTGAAATGTGCCAAGTACCTCGCCACACAGGCGGGGACGCATAGAATGCATAGATAGCCGATGAGGAAAGAACCCCCCATCGGCCAGGGCGACGAAAAGAACAACGAAACATCTCGGCTGAGCCGACGTCTGCCAACATGACCTTAACATACGTACCTTAACAATGCCATGGAATCCCGAAAATGCATTTTGGAAATGTTTCGAAGATGATTACCATCCCCAAAACTAACATCGACCCTGAGAATTGGCCAGATAAAAATATTATAGAGGAAAGTAGTCTTCCAACATCTTCCAACCCCCTAGAGTATCTGGGTCTATGCTAGTTGGGGTGGTGGCATCGGAAATAGCAATCCTTGGTTATGGGTTCTCAGTTTTGAGAGGGTCAAAGTGAAGCATCAAGGCTCACCGCAGTGGCTACGGCGACGGTAAGGCATCAAATCAGGATGAGGATCAGCTGAAACAAAAAGTTTATTGCAGTAGCCCACCAGAGAGAGAGAGAGAGAGAGCGCGCGCGCGCGAGCTAGCGAGGGAGGGGGGAGAAAAAAAACACGCGAATAGATCAGCAATGGATGTGTAATGTGTAATCCCTATTCAGCCTGACATTGAGAATTCGCCTTGTTCGTTGTGCTTATGCATCCACGTGCCCGATCAAGGTTTGGCTTGACCCTGACCTGGTTCCAGAATGGAGTCATCTGTGTGCTCGAAGTAGTCAATGACGTGGAAATCAACCTCCGGTGGCCAACAAGTCCCCAAGCGAAAACTGCCGCAGTGTCCTAAATTCGCAAAACTCTTGCCCACCAAATCGATAAAAGTAACTTGTAATAAATGTATGCTCAATGTATCCATCTTTCACACCTCACTTTCTTGTCTCAATGATTCAGGCAACCCCAAGTGGAAAGTCTTGGAACCTAAGTTCCCACCACTGAGCGCAGTGCCAATGCTACTGCTTCACATTCCTAGTCTTGACGAATTTCTATGAATTTCTGGGATTAGTCAGTGGAAAGCATCATTCCAAATAGGATGCAAAATACCCTTTGGTAAACGGTCCCAAAAACTATGGAAAACCACTGTTTAATGGATAAATCCACCATTTCAATGGCAATCTTCAATAGCAAACTGCTAGTTTACCAGAGGCTAACCGGAAAACTTGATAACTTGGCCCTCCAAATATCTACATCTCCACCATTCTCACCAGCTTGGCTTCCCCACAACCCCAAATATCTTCTTATATCTTGTTGTTGGGAGAGTACTTACGCATACAGTATGTATCCGTATGTATCCATATGTATCCCATTTAATGCCAAGTCTTGTCCGTGAAGTCCCGGTTCTGACACTTAAGTCCCACGATAGTCCCACGCATTTAATGCTTCATCAAATCGAATCTTCACTCATCTTTATGCGAAGGCGGCGAAGGCTCGAAAATCAGATCAAATCCCAAGTCTTGATGTGGGGGTCAAAATTAGGTCCCCCAATCAGTGGATTGTCATCCGGTCTTTAATTGTGACCCATACCCATATGTCATCATATGTCATGATAGAAGATTAGTGTGCTAGACTGTGCTAGAGTGCTTGTAGTTAAACATACCCTCCGGCAATTTAACAGTTCGCTATTGAAAATTATCATTTAGAAATAGTTGATCTACATTGTTTCTCCATGGTAATTTTCCAGTTCGCGAACGGTTAGTTTACCAGGGGGTAGATGGTCATGGGTCAAAACCCTGGTACCCTACACTATTTGATGGCTGGCTATATGGAGATTTCCATAAATGGAGGATACCCCCAAATGGGTGGTTTGTGGGAAATCCATCTATAAATGGATGATTCGGGGATACCCCCATGACTTAGAAAACCTCCATATGGATCCATAATAGCTGAAAACAAAGAGAAAACAAGGATTTCATAACATTCTAACTAGAGATTGAATAACATTTATAATAACCATTTATCCAGAAATGGTGATTACCATTGATTACCATCTTACCAGAAAATTGGTCATTACCATTGATAATTATGGTACTATATGGTTATAATAAATGGTAATGACCAATTTATCCAGCAGAAAATTCCGAAAATTCCGACCTCGTCATTGGTATCGCCCCGTCCCAGGCGTCCGAAATCCCCCTTGCCCGTGGCATAGAGATGGCCATCCTCCGTCAGCACCACGGTGTGTTGTGCCTTGGCCGAAAAAAAGAAACGATGGTTTTAATGGAGGATTCTACTGACTGATTTTAATGGATTTTCATGGATCTTCATGGATTTTCATGGATGTTGATGGATGTTAATGGATTTTCATGGCAAATTTGAGGATGTTAATATATTTTAAGGGCAAACCAGCAAAATTTGGATGATGAAAACCATCCAAATTGGTGATTCATGGTGGTTTCACCATGAAAAACGGTGAACATTGATGAGATAGTTAGATAGATAGATAGATAGATAGATATATATATATATATATATCATGTATTACATTACTGTATATACATATGTATAAAGTTTTATAAGCATAAAAAACGGAGGAAAAAACGGATTTATGTATCAAACATGGCTATTCAACCAGGACAAAATGAGGATTTTGCATGACATTTGAGCATGAAATACTGGAAATTGAGTTTAAGCCAAGGAAAAATGAAAGCAAATGAACTCACAAAAATTATGGAACATTGGGACCAAATCTGCTTTAGCAATCAACATAATAAGGGAATGGAACTTATTAACTATCAAACAAAGGGATGTAGCCTACAAGAATGTAATTCAAGCAACAAACATGGTGATCTACTAAAGAAGCAGGAGATTCTATCAACAAAGACGGGGATTGCATAGATGGTACCACCTGCCAATGGGATAGGCTTTGCTCCAGTTGAAGAAGCCTTTTTTAAAAGGGAACACCAGCTACAGGTTCGAATCGTTAGCCTTTGCATATATAACTAAGTTTGGTAAGGTTATATGGTAGCTGTATCATGTATCATTATCACGATGTATCTACATAGTCAAGTCGGTTCAAATTCAAAGCTAATACTAATCATTCATATATGTGCACATGCGCATGCTCGTGCTTGCTGGTCAAAAGACTTTGAGTATCTCATGCGGGCGTTTGGGGCTTGGCTGAAATCAAGAAACGAATATAGCAACTCCCAAAAAGATAGAAGCTGGAAACCTGGAAATTACACGGGAAACATCATATTTTTCCTCATGTGCAACATCCTGGAGACACTGGTTTCTATCTTTTTGAAGGTTGCTACAGCGCGAA